GTCAAGTTTTTTTTTAAGCCTCAGCTTATGTGGTTGCTCTCCTTGACAAGATCTGCAGATTTTACAGGTCACATTAATTTGTTTATGGCACACCACACATTTGCGAATCGTTGACCCCTGGCCTGGCATTTCTATCAGAGATAGAGTAAGCAGAAGACACAAAGAGATTTTGAGAAGTCCTTCTCTCACTGAAACAAACCAGGACAAGATGTAAAAATAATAAAAAGCAATACTTACTTGAAGACACTATGGCTTCTGAGAGGGGGGGGTACAGTAAGGTAGTTGATCCGAATTGTTGTGCACAAGGTGTTTGTCACAGCTCCAGACTTATTTGTTCATGAATGACGTCATCAGCGACTAGTCGATTTCCATCACATAAAAGTAGACTTTAAAAAATCAGAAGTCGTTCAACCCCTACAATACAGTATAATATCAAATTGCAAATATCATTAAAAACTGTATGCAAATTTCCATAATATCACTGACATGAAGATAAATCTTGCTGTAATCTGGCCTGTTATTTGTAGAGTATTTTATTCTAATATTGTATTCATCACTATTTCCTCTCGGTGCTGCGATTTCTTCCTCCCTGCAAAATAATTAAACACAAAAGCATTTACTGAGCTCTCATGATTGCAGATTGTCACAGATCAATGCGAATCATCAGATTGTCAAATCAAGTCACCTTTATTTCTATAATGCTTTATACAATACAGATTGTGTCAAAGCAGCTTTACAGTGTTAAGCTGAGAAACGTGTGCTGATAATGCAAGAGGACAATAGAGAACAGTCAGTTTTCCAGGTAAAGTCAGTTCATTGTTGATTCAGCAATGTAATCATTCAGCTCAGGTCAGTTTAAATAGTATCTGTGCAATCAAGTCAACAATCCTGCCAGAAATTAAGTGTCCCAAACTAAGCAAGACAAAGGCGGCAGGGGCAAGGAACCAAAACTCCATCTGTGACAGAAATGGAGAAAAAAAAAAACTTGGGAGAGAGCAGGTTTAGTCGGGGGTCAGTTCTCCTCTGGCCAGAATTTGGATTGTGTGAGGCTGAAAAACTCACCAGCTCTTACACAGATGATCTGAAGAAGAATCACAACAGGAGCAGCAAACACTGCAAACTCAACAATAATCACAATCACTGCAGGAAAGATGTGTGGACAGATGATAGACACAATCAAGAGGGGAAAAAAAGACTCAGTATGTGAAACTGGGAATGAAATGAGAAGTATAAAACGACGAACAATATAAAGACGCGTGCGGTACCTCAGAATAATGATCCAGCAGTAACTGAAGTCAGTAGGACTGCTGCGATCATGTCTGTTAGTTCAGTTCAAACATAATGAACATACCGTATAAACCAAACATCATCATCATCAGATCATACTTACATTTCACATCATAGAAATGATGAACTTCCACTGCTTCATGAGTTCATTATCTATTATCATGTTATTTCAATCTCAAGGTGTCAGGAGAAACATTTACCATCCGAATAGGGCTTTTGACTTGATCTGAATCTCACAGAACAAGTGATACATGCATTATAAGACAATTGAACATGATATGAAACTCATAAGAAAACACAATGATATAATTTATATCATGAAACAAAATGGTATACAAGAATAAACCTTTTTGACATTGTTCTTTGGAGAGGAACTCCATCCTTGAGTTGATCTGAATCTCACAGTTGAATCTGCTGGTTTTGAAGATGAAGATGAACTTTATTCACTGTGAAAACTTTAGATAATGTTTCTTCGTTTTGCCGCTTGTAATGTCTGGTTAGGACAGATTTATCCAGATGATATTTTATTACTTGATGCATTATTGTGTCTCATTTGGTGAGGACACAGCATCAGACCTGAAAGTGCTGGATCTGAAGATGATCTGCTTACTGTGATTGCGTTTTGTATGACTGTGTAAAGCAGATGAACAATTGAAACGCTTCCCACATGCAATGCAGTGATACGGTTTCTCTCCAGTGTGGATCCTCTCGTGTTTTTTCAGAGTTGTTGACTGACTGAATCTCTTGTCACAGTGTGAACACTTATAAGGTTTTTCTCCAGTGTGAATCCTCTGGTGCTGTTTTAAATGTTCAGCTGTAGAAAAAGTCCTCCCACACTCAAAGCACACATGATCTCTCGCACCAGTATGTATTTTCTGATGTTTTTTTGCATTTTCTAAACATGAAAATCTCTTTCCACACAAATGACATGAATGTGGCTTCTCCTTTGTATGAACTCTCAGGTGTTTCCTCAGGTCTGAAGCTCTCAAAAATGTTTTGTCGCATTGATCACATGCGTACAGTTTCTCTCTAGTGTGGATGTTCATATGTTCCTTAAGGTGTGCTGATTGTGTGAAACTCTTCCCACATTGATCACAAGTGTATGGCTTCTCTCCAGTATGAACTCTCATATGCCCTGTAAGGTGTCCTTTTCGTGCGAAACTTTTCCCGCACTGATCACATGTATAAAGTTTCTCTCCAGTGTGGATCCTCATATGCTCTGTAAGATGTCCTTTTAGTGTGAAACTCTTCCCGCATTGTTCACAAGTGTATGGTTTCTCTCCAGTATGAACTCTCATATGTCCTGTAAGGTGTCCTTTTCGTGTGAAACTCTTCCCGCACTGATCACATGTGTACGGTTTCTCTCCAGTGTGGATCCTCTCGTGTGTTTTTAGGATTCCTGACCGACCGAATCTCTTGTCACAGTGTGAACACTTGTGAGGTTTCTCTCCAGTGTGGATGTTTATGTGTATCTTAAGGCTTGATGACTGAGTGAAGCTCTTCCCACACTGATCACAAGTGTACGGTTTCTCTTCAGTATGAACTCTCATGTGAACATCAAATTTATTTTTGCTTGTGAAACTCTTTCCGCACTGAGTGCAGGTGAAAGATTTCTTGGCTCTTCTTTTCTTTATATCCTTCTGCTTGGTTTGAGAGCAATTCAAAGTTTTTTCTTCAGGTTTCTCCTCAACTTCACTCAATTCTTCATTCTCCTTGGTTTCTTCAATCAACTCTGAAATAAAAGTAAAAATGGTTCATTTTCAGTAACCCTGATGTAACAGTGTAAAGTAGACAATTGCTATACCAAATTTTGGTAATTTTGATGCATTTTTGTAAATTATATCTCCATGAATGAGGTACATTGATCTTCCAATTACTATTTTTAAAACATTATAGGCACAATTAACATGTTTCTACAAGGAGAACTATTACATATGTTTGATCAACTACACAATTATCTAACATAATGTTATTGAAAAAAGTAACCTACTACAACAAATCTTAATCTGCTTGAAGCTTTATAACCATCAGCATTATTAATGAAGAATAAACACCAACCTGTTTGTTCTTCAGTATCTTCAGTGTGTTTCATTCTGCAGGGTTTGTGGGAGGAGCTTCACTGAACATGAATTTCTGTGTGGAAGAAGCAGATTTGCCAAATTTTAAAATAATTTACATATTTAAGCATTTATGTATTAGAAGCAGAAGAGACTTACAAATACAAAGTGTTGCCTCTTTGTAAATTATTATATTACTATATTAAAAGTAACAGTGTCAACACAAAGAGCAGATCAATTTAAAATGCTAATTCAGTAACACATATGTGCCAATTCACACATTCTATGCATTTCTGTTTTCTGTCTTTCTAATGTTAACATTTCTAACCATATTTTATTTTTCATTCTGCCTTAGTATTAACATATAAGATATCCATCTAGAAATATAGAAAATAATACAATGTAAATTCTTCCAAATATAAATAACAGTTAGAGTGAAAAATTAAAGCATAAACAGACATTTGATGACACCCATCTTCATTTACAATTACAGGTAAATAACTACACTGTATCTAAATATAGTTTGATTTTCTAACAACTACATTCAGAGCAATTAAAGTAAGTAATTAAATGATTAACATGTTATAGTTTTTTATGTGCAGTAATTGACAATGATCATAAAATCTTCTTTAAACAGAAAGAGTACCACAAAGCACAAATTTAATATTTCCAGTGTATATGTATATATATATATATATATATATATATATAAATCTCTTCATATTTCTGTAGAGATTTAAAATATCCCATATGGCATACAGACTAATTATATAAAGTATTTAGCAGTATCTGTGCTTAATTTTAACCATGTAAAGTAACTATAACAAATGTATTTAATAGAAACAGCAAAATTTGATATCGGTTCGATTTGGCAGTATCTGTTCTTAATTTTAACCATGTAAAGTAACTATAACAAATTTGAGCTGCAGAAGATAAATCTCAAAAGAGAAATAACGTTACAAATAAAATCGCAGCGGCAATACTGATATTGTCTCGCATTCATTCCCCTCACAGATCATGAGACATTCAGTAACAGCAACATTATCACTCCAAACATCGAAACAATCATTCACACGAACACACAAAAACACAAAATCACTCAGATCTTAATAAATGAACTTAACATGTTTTTCCTCACGTGCTAAGTGTTTAAGCCGGCAAACACACAAACAGCGCTGTTCTCGATGAAAACAAGGCAGAAACTATGGCGTTATTTTAATGACAAATGTCGAGAGCGCATTATTGTAGCGCGAAAGCACATTAATACAATGCGCGAGCGCGAATCTCTCTACTCGCGCGCGGATTTCCCTTGCTCACACAAAAGCGGACGCTCGCGCTCAGATACACGCTGCTCTCGCCCAGAGAGAGTGCGCGCACTTAAAACGTGTCTCCTCTCACTCAAACTGTGTCCTGTGCACTCTCAAATCTCTGTGCTCATGCACTATAGATATTAATTATTTTCGCACCTGAATTAAACATCGTCAAAGGTTATCATTATGCACTTTTAAAAAGTAGTCTCAAAACAGATTTGTGCAGGGTCTTTCCTTGATTTTTTATTGTTGTAGTTTTGTTTTAACAAACTGGTTATTGAAGCTACTTTGTTTTACTATATCTCTTTTATCTTTGTATTTTGATC